TGTCCACTACCCGGGGGAGGGCCTTCTCTGTGGCGGCTCCGGCCCTTTGGAATGAGCTCCCCGCAGAGATTCGGACACTCACCTCTCTCCACGCCTTCCGAAAAGCCGTTAAAACCTGGATGTGTCGGCAGGCCTGGGGTCGATGAGTTCCCTTCCCCTCTCGAATCGTGTGGCTGTTGGTTGTTTTAAATGCCCTGTACTTTTTGTTGTAGTTTTTGTGTTTTCCCTCCCCCTCCTTGGGTTTGTGCGCCGCCCTGAGTCCCGCTGGGAATAGGGCGGCATATAAATAAAATGAACCTCGAACCTTTTCATGCACGCGCTCATCTGGGCCACAACCAGGAAGAGGAGCTTCCCAGGGGACATGCCCATACCGGAAAACGAACTTCCGGTTTCTGGTGCACACATGCACACCAGCCAGCAAATCTTCCAGTTACTGCTGTGCATGTGCACATGCCAATCAACTGGCCGGCATGCATGCTCACGCCGGAAAATGGAAGACCAGCTCTTCCGGTTTCCTGCACTGCTGCATGCGCAAAGGCCAGCTGATTGGCATGTCCACATGCACACCAGAAACCCAGAGGAGGAACGGGTGATGCCGCGCATGCCAGGCATTCCAGTCATGCATGCCACTTTGGGCATGCGTGCCATAGGTTTGCCATCATGGTCCTATACCATTTCAGACAAACGGTTGTCAAATCTCTTCTTAAAAACCATCAGTGTTGGAGCAAGTCATTCCACTGATTTTGTTCCACTGATTAATTCTTCTAACTATCAGGAAATTTCTCTGTAGTTCTAGGTTGGTTCTTTCTTTGATTAGTTTCCATCCATTGCTGCTTGTTCTGTCTTCGGGCACTTTGGAGAATAGGTTGACCCCTTCTTCTTTGTGGCAGAAGGAGAATGGGTCAACATATTCTCTGTCATGCAAAAGTATATGTTGGCCAAACACTTTTGCTTTCTTGTCCCTACCAGCCAGTGCAAATAAACAATCCAGCAACTCGCTGGGAAAAGGAAGTGCAATATAGTGTTGTGTTTAAACTAGTAAGTCCGTATTTGTTGTATTTGGGATATAAGGTAGGACAGTATAATAGAATTTTACCCAAAACAAATTCTGTTCCCATAATTCCAAATAAAGTGAAAGCAAGCATCAAAATTCTGTTGGCATTCATTTTCCAAAATTAAGAATTGAGAACAGGGGAGAATATCTGAAACAACTACAACAACAACAAGTTGTTGAAAGTTTCGCCAAACAGGGACAGTCATTTTTCAAACAAAACACAACTCACACACGCCTATGAAACACAGAAAGCATATTGATTTGCGGTTTTTTTTAAAGAAAATGATTCTTAAGACATTTTATTAACCAGTTATAGGATTAATTTGCTGTACCTAAAGGCTTTGTTATTCAACAATAGGAATGTAAATAGATTTTTTTTTTAGATGATAAAAAGAAACACCTAATTTGAATAGCAAACTACTAACCCTTACAATAAAGCAAATGGGATTTGCAGTGATTCTCATCAACCCCTGATCAGAAACAAAGAGTTGTTCTTATTTTACCAGTTCAAGTTTGCCTGGGAAGCCATGAAGCAGGGAATCCCATTTCTATTACAGATTAACAGGGTTGGAAGGCACCTTGTAGGTCATCTAGTCCGAACCCCTTCCCAAGCAGGAAACCCTACACCATTTCAGACAAATGGCAGTCCAGTCTTTTCTTGAAAGCTTCCAGTGATGAAGCCCCATTGCTTGATTGTTCTCACTGTCAGAAAATTTCTCCTTATTTGTAGGTTGAATCTCTCCTTTATTGGTTTCCCTCCATTGTTCCTTGTCTGGACTTCAGGGACCTTGGAAAATAACTTGACCCCCCTCCTCTCTGTGGCAGTTCCTCAAATATTGGAAGACTGCTATCATGTCTCCCCTGGTCCTTCTCTTCACTATGATCCTAAGCATGTACTTTCAAACTAATTTAGCCTAGTCTTCCTCAATCTCTATGTCCAGATGAAGGAGAAATGAACAGGTTGCTAGTCTGTTCATAATCCCCATAGTTACTTAGATTGAGTGAAACAGAATGAAACTATAGTTTAGAAGTTTTAGAAACTTTTGGGGAGGGATTTCTACAAGGCTGCAGAAATGACTTTTCTCCAACTCTGGAGGTTTTTAAGGAGAGATTGGACAGCTGTTTGTCTGAAATGGTGTAGGGCTTCTAGCCTGAGCAGGAGGTTGGACTAGAAGACCTCTGAGATCCCTTCCAACTCTGTTATTCTGCTGCTCCAAGGGACATAACTTTGTGTCTCTGCAATATGCAAAGAGAAACATTGTTTAATGTTTCAACAGACATTCCCCATGATAAGGAGTTTCCTTGAAATGTGTGGGGGAGCTATGTATTTGTTGGCACAGCTGACTTTTAAAACTCTCTCCCCTCCTCATGCGCTGATTATTCACCCCCTGTGTTTGCCTTCTCATGTGAATCTGCCCCAAACATATGCTCAGCTGATGATGGATAAGGAAAATACCACCTGCATGGCTCTTTTCACATTGACAATATTAATCCCAACTGTAAGAAGAGAGCTAGGAAACTCTTTGTTTAAAAGCTGGGGTTTCAGGAGCGGAAAAGGAGAAGAAGACTTAAAATAGATGTCTGTTCATCCAGCGGCCAGTTCTCAAAATATCCAGTAAACCTTCAAGTTGCCATTTATTGCAGTATTATTTATAGTCGGTAGAGTTGAAAGAAATCATTGCAAGTTTATTATTTCCTGTGTGGTAAACTATGACCACTTTGTTTGCCTTGGCACTAGCCCAGGAAGTTATATACCTAATTATGGATGAATCCAGTGTATTTCCTGGTTAAGTTCTTGTAAGATTACGTCTTCAAATGCGCACACAGAAGGAAAAGTATTTCATAGATGTTCTCAAGCTGGATAGCCAGTGTCGTGTTAATATTAACAGAGGATAGAATCAAGATCACGTGAAGTACTAGTACTGCTTTACAATGTCTTAGTAAGACTTCACCTGGAGTATTGCATCCAGTTTTGCTCAGCACCCTATAAAAAAGATGTTGATTTAGAAAAGTGCACAGAAGAGCAACAAAGATGATTAGGAAACTTAAGACAGATTGCAGGAATGGTTGCAGGAATTGGATATGGCTTGTCTAGTGAAAAGAAGGACCAGGGGATACATGATAGAAGTGTTCCAATACTTGAAGGGCTGCCACGAAGAAGAGGGAGTCAACCTATTTTCCAAAACTCCAAAGGGAAGTCAAGAAACTAATCAAAGAGAGACCCAACATTTCCTGACCGTGAGAACAATCAACAGTGGAGCAGCTTGTCTTTAGCTCCATCTTTGGAGGCTTTTAGGAAGAGACTAAAAAGCCACCTGTGTGAAATGGTCTCCTGCTTGACTGGATGTTGGACTAGAAGAACTCCCCTTCCAACTCTGATATTCAGTGTCTCAGGTTTAGGGAAACAATTCTCACCAATTCCAATTAAGAATTGTAGTTCAGAAGATTGGCAGAGCATTAGGCTCTTTGGCCCTTGATCTACAGTACAAATGAGTAGTTTTAAATGTCTCTCTTGGGGTTGGTTAGGTATCATTTTTAACAAGAGTGTCTTTGACCATATTCATCATGTGAGTTCAGTTAGCACTAATGTTTCTTGATTCATATAGAATTGAGAAGCTGAGAAATGGGATGGAGCAACTTCACAGATAGAAGAGTTGGTGTGAAGAGGGGAATTGCAGGCTCTTTTGTCTTTCAAGAGATCCATTGAATGCCAGCTTCTTATTTCCCTTTTCTCCAAGAGTTCTTAACTGCTCACTCACCTTGATTCCGTCATATTGAGGTAGCTCCCATATTTACTTTAACCATTTAGCTGATGCACATCATAGATCCTTTGATGGCTATCTGCAATCCTGCAAAGTATCTACACCAGGGGTGTCCAACCTTGGCAACTTTAAAGCCTGTGGATTTCATGCTGGCTGGAGCTTTCTAGGAAATAAAGTTCATAAGTCTTAAAGTTGCCAAGATTGGACACCCCCTGATCTACACCAAGAGATGGTTACAAGCCCTATACATAGACCTTCAACTATTGTTAACTGGTTTTAGTGTGATTTAATCCACGAGTGTGAATTAATGCCTAGGGCAAAATCCCCTGATTTGCTTTTTTTTTTTTTTTTAATGGGAGGAGGTGGCTGTTATAAGTATGCCTTTTTGAAATTGCATCTGCTTGGGACTCATAATTCTGCTCTGCAAAATAAACTATACTAGGTCTAGCAAGATGTCCCAACACAGACCTTATGTTAAACTCTGGTGAAAAGTGAGCACTTTGGACACCATCTACATAACCAAGACTTGTTCTTGACTTAACTGTTCTGCCTAAAATTTGCCTTTAATTCTTTACTTGTTCATTTATAATGTTGTGTCATGACAACTCAGATTAGCAATAGCAATAACGCTTAAGACTTATATACCTCCCCGTAGTGCTTTGCAGCACTCTCTGGGCAGTTTACAATGTTAGCATATTGCCCCCAACACTCTGGCTCTTCATTTTACTGACCTTAGAAGGATGGAAGACTTGAGTTAACCTTGAGACCCATTAGGATCAAACTCCAGGGATGTGGGCAGAGTTTGCCTGCAAAGCTACTGTGCCACTAGATAAACAGGTAGTCTCTGACTAGGCAACTATTAGGCCAATAAGAAAATGAGATGGGTGGTAAGACCAATGGAAAGCATGTCCATTCCATTTTTATGCTCTTTCGTTCATTATGAAGGGGAATGCAAAACATGGCTATTAAATATCTAGGAAGTTGAAGGGAAGGTTTATCTTGCCCACCTTGCTGATGGCAGACCTGGGTGAATCACCCAGCAGGATCCTATGTACTGGGAGTTGCTTAAGGGTGGGAGTTGAAGATGCTAGCTTTAATCGCAATTAGCCACCTTTAGTTTATGTCTTTCCTTCTCCATCTGTTGCTTTTGTTTTTCAGCCATCTACAATTACAAAGCAGTCCAGGATGTGGAGCTCTCTTTACAGGTTGGGGATACTGTTCACATCCTGGAGATGTATGAAGGTAAGCAGGCTCTGGATGGCCAAGAGAGAATGGGAAAGGCTCCTAGGTCCAGTGGGAGACACTGGGTTTTGTATTTGAAAGTATGGATCAACAAAATGGAAAGAGGCAAAGCAAATAAATCTCAGGTGATGAAACCCAGCTACACAGATTATTGTTGTATCTGTTCCAGAGAGAGCACTCTTAAGATCTGAAGCAGGAATTCCAAATATAAGAAGCTGTGAAGATCGATATTATTTTCCACCGATGGCCACTCAGTTGCTATACGATCCAGCTGCTCCTTTCTGCATCTTCTCTAGCTTGGCTGTTGTTTTAAAGTTTCGCTGAGTAGAAATGTACAGGTGCTCCAGTATAATTGGGTTGTTTTGGCATGAGTAAAAGAGGCATGTGAGAACAACCGCATCAAGGAGCAGTTCTGAATGACTCTCAAGTTCTCTGACTACACAAAGGTAACTTTGAGAAGCCCACAAGCAGGTCATGATGAGATGTATATACAGACGTATAGTAGGTGCAATTGCATCCTAACATAAAGACTCTTGTTTTGCTTTTGTAATTAAATGTAATCTTGAGTCTGACTTCATTTCTGGCATTTTAATGACTGTGATAATCTAGTTTAACCTGAGGCTTTCTCAGCCCGGGATTGTTGTGGAATAAGATTATAATCCAGCATACCTGGAAGAAGATGCATTGGGTCAATAGGGAAGGCTAAATTGGATCCCCTTAGTGGAATTTTTATTGACTTGCCTGAATTTTTATGGCATAGTGTGGCTTTTGATTGATCAGTAAAGGATCCCTTGCTGTACAGCTAACTTTCCCTGCTGGAATGGATGAGAGGCTTCATGTGTGATTCATCCCATGCTTAACTTCCAGTGCATTTCATATACTTCTTGAAAGTTGCTATTTCATTGTTATGCTCCAACAGACCAGAGAATAGAATTTGAGCTAATCCACCTTGGCTGGAAAGAGAATTGAGTCACGTGAGGATTGCAAAGGGTTGCTGAGTCTCCATTTTTATGATGCCCTCCATCCTGTCAGTGTTAAGTTAGGAGCTGAATACCTGGGATTCACCAGCAAGTCAAACCAGCTGCTTAATTAACCCCCTGCTCTAGGCCTTTATTTTATTTTCAGGCTGGCTTGTCCTTGACATCAGAGAGTAGCCAGTTAGAGCTCAGGTGCCAAAAAAGATTTTTGTTGCTGATGCTGTATTGGCAGATGCATTTGAGGGGAGTGGATTCCTTTCTAGTGGTAGATTTAATGCAGCAGAGAACCAGGGCATTGGCTGACCTTGCATATGGGAAAGCGGGACAGACAAATGAAGGAAACTATTGGTCCCATTCCCGAGGAGCCATTTAAACTAGATGGTTAAATTAGAATCATCATTTCCTATCAGGAAGAACAGTGACAATATTTTCTCCTATCCACAAAGCAAAGCAATGTGTTTTTGAGAACCAGTTTGGTTTAGTGGTTAAGTCACCAAGCTAGAAAGCAGGAGATTGTGGGTTCTGGACTGGACTGGGTGACTTTGAGCCAGTCACTCTTTCTCAACCCGTCTTCCTTTCAGTTAATTATTGTGGGGAAAATAGGAGTAGGAATATGTGTTGAGTTATTATCCACTTTGAGTTGTTTGCAAAAATAATAAAGCTGGGATACTATGTTAATAAAGGTAAAGATAAAAATTCCACTCGCACATATGTGCTAGTCATTCCTGACTCTAGGGGGTGGTACTCATCTCCATTTCAAAGCTGTAGAGCCAGCACTGTCTGAAGACGTCTCCATGGTCATGACTAAACACCAAGCACAGACTAAGCACAGAACGCTGTTACCTTCCCACCAAAGTGATCCCTATTTTTCTACCTCCATTTTTACATGCTTTTGAACTGCTAGGTTGGCAGAAGCTGGAACAAGCAACGGGAGCTCACTCCATTATGCAGCGCTAGGGATGTGAACCACTGAACTGCTGACCTTTCTGATTGACAAGCTCAGCGTGTTAGCCACTGAGCCACCACGTCCCATTACTAAATTAATAGATTAACCTAATATTAATACCTGCCTTGAAAATCTGCCCATCAACAACACTCTCAAAGTACTGCTTGAAAAATAGTTTGTTTTTTCCCAAGACAACATACAATATCAGGAGGTCAAGGAGAATGTTCTGTTTTGTTGAAAAAAAAGGAGAGAGTCATTCTTTTAAGGAAAGGGGAAAAGCAACTTTTTTTTTTACTTTATCTCTATTTTTCATATGCAAGATCAGTTTATCCTCTAGTTCTTGGGCATGTTAAATCTATTGTCCTTCCCCTCAACTCAAAGACTTCAAATGAAACAGCAGTTGCCCAAGACCTCTCCTTGTTTCTCTTTCCTGCAAAGAAAACTGAACTTTGACTGCAGCTAGTATCGGGATTATATACATCTACCTATAGCTTTCGCTATATGGGATTCCACTCGTTTGAGTAAAGAAATATACTCACATATAAGCCTGAATTTTTGATGGCCTGTTAGAAAAGCAGAACTGGAAGACCTTCCTCTAAAGCAGGGGTGTCAAACTCAAAGCCCGGGGGCTCAATCCAGCCCACAGGATACTTAGATTGGGCTTGTGGGGCCATCCTGGAAAAAGCAAAGGACTGACCAGCGGTGCTTCTACCAGTGAAAACAAGCTCCTGAGCTCTCTTTTCAGCTACCATGGCTCCTGCAACCCTCTGCCAGCCCTCCCGAGCTCCATTTTCATTGGCAGAGGGTTGAAGGAGGCTGTGGCAGCCGAAAACGGAGCTCAGGAGCCTGTTTTCATTGGCAGAGCACTCCGGCCACTACAGGCGGCCCTAACATGAGTGATGTTGAGATGGTCACACCCACTCTGACCACACCCATTCCAGTCCTCCAAGATCAAACACAACCCTGATGTGGCCTTTAATGAAATCAAGTTTGATACTCCTGCTCTAAAGCCTTTCCAGTAGATGGGTAGAAAATCAGTGCATCTAGCTAGGTGTGCTAAGTTCAAAATTGAGAATTCAGGGGATACGGAACAATCTGAGGAGTTATCTTTAAAGTTTCCACTTTCTTCATCTAATTTTATCCAGCTTTTATCCAAATCTCAGTGGACGGACTGAGTCATTCATTCAAATGAATAAGGCCAAAGTTCAGAGGCAGATTCAAGAATTTGTTTCCTTATTTAGCTGATAGTTGTTGCTGTGCAAAGTGTGAAGACCAGGCAGTTAATGGCTGACTTCTACTTTAATGCAGGAAAACCGGTCTCCACTGATTATTTATTATGTTTGAACATTCCCAGATTTCATAGATCCTTATGTCATTGATACAACTTTGGAAGCCCTGCTGTGCAGTTATCATTTATGTCTGCCTATCTGCAATTGCTTTTTATGGCAAATGTCTATATTAATAGGATACATTTTTTTCTAAGAATCCTGATGCAACCAGATTTATAATATTCACAACTCAGTGGAGGTTTTGGAGATAAGAAGGGAAGGGGAGAGGAAAGGGGAGGGGAGAGGAAAGGAAAGGAAGAGCGAAGGGAAGGAAAGAAGAGGGAAGAGAACAAATGGAAGAGGGAAAGGAAGGGGAAGGAATGGAAGAGGGAAGAAAAGGGAAGGAATGGAAAAGGGAAGGAAGAGGGAACGGAAGGAAAGGAAGAGGGAACAGAAGGGGAAGGAATGGAAGAGGGAAGAAAAGGGAAGGAACAGAAGAGGGAAGGGAAGGAACGGAAGAGGGGAGAGGAGGGAAGGAAAAGGGATGGGAAGGAATGGAAGAGGGAAGGGAAGGGGAAGGAATGGAAAAGGGGAAAAAGGGAAGGAATGGAAAAGGGAAAGAAAGGAAAGGAAGAGGGAAGGAACAGAATTGGGAAGGGAAGGGAAGAAAAGACTTAAGAGAGAAGCTAACAACTCCAACAAAGAGGCAACTAAACAAAACATTGAATGCTAAATATCTGAGACCAGATGAGAATCATACCAGAGGAATGTAATGGAGTCTTTGGAACACACATGGAACAGGCACATCTGGCCAGCTAGAGACCTAAATAAGAACCCCTGATAGCATCTCTAGTTATCACATCTGTTTTATGTCTAACTTGCTTGGTTGAATTCCTGGACTTTCTAATTTGGAGAGTTTTCTATATCTGGCCATGAGATGCTTGGAGCCACTGTGTGTGTGTGTGTCACAATGGCTATTGTGGTCCATGGCAGAATTTATCAAATGAGCTGAAACTGGTACAGTTTGTTCCAGGCTGAAAAGGGCCGGAGCTGGCATCTGGCTTGTTTATTTCTTAATGACGACTGTTCACAGCAATGACAGCATCCATCTGGGAGACACCACTTGCCTTGTTTAAAGCTTTGCATGACTTCTTGAATTAAGTTGGATATTCCGTGTTGAGATCTCCCCACTTCCTTCCAGTCCCAGAAACAGCAGTGCAGTAGAGGACCATTTCATACTCTGATTTCATTTTTCTAAAAAAAAGTATAAATAAAAGCACACTCAAGACACCCGCAGATTATATTAGGAAGTGTAGCACAAATTGTTTAAGGGACTCAGTGGCTGCTGAGCTTGTCGATCAGAAAGGTCAGCAGTTTGGCAGTTCGAATCCCTAGCACTGTGTAACAGAGTGAGCTCCTGTTACTTGTCCCAGATTCTGCCAACCTGGCTGTTCAAAAGCATGTAAAAATGCAAGTAGAAAAAATAGGAACCACCTGTCAACGTTCCAAATATCATGCAGAATTAAATCAGAGTCCAAGGCAGAGTTATCCTTAAAGTTCCAATTTAATAAGACAGACATGTTAGCACGAACTGTGGAATCCCAAATCTAAAAGCTTCCTGGGATTCCACCCAATTGAAAGTTCATGATCTTATCCCCACACCCATAAATCCATCACATGGGCCAATCTTCTTCGGCCATGCTGGCATCTCCACCCAGCTGGTTCCGGTCAGGTGCAGAGGTGTGGAGATAAAAGACGACCTTGGGCTTCTAGAAAGGAATGACAACAACACATTCCACAATTCTGCTC